GGAAATTTCCTTTGGGTTGCGACCAATTCAGGTTGCGGCCAGAGTCACGGAACGAATTAAGTTCATAAACCGAGGTTCCACTGTATTGTAAAATAAAGAAACCAAAGAATGAATGATGGGAGGAGGATTTTCCTTTGCCAGGGCTGCTATTAGAGTAGAGCATAGTGCTTACTATCAGGCTGTCCGAGAGCCGCACTATCCTGTAGCAATTTTACTCTCCTGAATACTTTCCAACAGTGTCTGTTCACTGCGTAGTTGGGGAACTGCCAGGGAGTACAAGGATGGAAGTGTAGTATCTGCAACAGGCCTCCATGGTTTGCATGTGGCTTGAGGGCCAAAAATTGCCAGTAAAGGGGAAAAATAAAATATGAAGTGTTTTTCAATCAAATTCCACAGTTCTTCTATAACTGTCATTTTTATATATCACATACTCATAATGCCAGCATATCTGTAAAAATGCAATCTTCAGAAAAAGTATTCCTAGAAGTTCAGAAATGTTATCTGTAGGAATATATTTATCAGTTGTCTTTTCCTTATTCTGACAAAAGATGTCAGCGTGGACAGTTTTTATGATTTTAAGGTCACCCACCTGCAGGATATCCAGAATTCTTCTTGGGTAGGCCATCTCGCCTCAAAAAATATTGGACAGGAGAATCATTCTGAGGGTGACCAGTACTCCCTTGATTTCAACAGAGCTCTCCAACAAATTAATGTGCATAGGAGAACAGCCTGAAAATTCCTTATGTTCTGAAACTTCTTGCAGTTACAACTCCTTATGCATTTATTTTTGTGGTGCTGCAGCAAATGGAAGCGAACTCCACATCAGCAGTGTTCGATATGAAGATACAGGGGCCTATACTTGCATTGCTAAAAATGAAGTGGGGGTAGATGAGGACATTTCATCTCTCTTCATTGAAGACTCAGCAAGAAAAACCCGTAAGTTTAATTTATATATCTACTTTCTAATTATTTATCCTCTTTTACTGGACTTGAGTGATTGGAACCACTGGATTTTGCCTGCATAAAGGATCATATATTGAGGTCTAATTTCAGAATGACTAGTTCCCATTGATCACAAGAAACAAGAATTATTTATAAGGTTGAAGAAAACTTAATTTCCTACCTGTAGATTTTTAACATATAGAAATTTCTATATTTTTCATTAGTAATCTTCTAAAAATTCCAGTTGTCCTTAAACATAATGCTTTTAAATTCATTTCTGAAATCATATATGGAACATGAAGAAAGCAATCTTGGGAAACCCTCCCCAAGGACCAATTAAAAATGGATTAATCCAGCAGATTACCTTTGGAGATCTTTCCAAGCTGATTCTTTCTATAGCATGGTTTTTTGCCAAAATGCTTCAGAATTATAAGAGTTGTAATTCCAAACTCTTTAGGTATCAGGGTGAAGAATTTTGCATTAAATTAAATTAAATTTAAATTAATTTAATTTAATTTAATTAATTAAACCTGATAATAACAATTAACAGCAGCAGAATTGCACTAGGCTCAATTGCCTTCCCAGCAGCCTTTGCTCTTTTCAGCCTGTGGCTATGAGGCCCACTGCCTCCCTTCACATTCGCTGACTGAACCACAGTTCATGATGTGGAGAGTTGCCCCATTCAGGTTGGAAAGACCATAAGTTGTAGTGAAAGACCATAAGTTGTAGTGAAACCTCTAGTTCATAATTATTTATCCTAGGTTATAAATTCTCTGCAAGACTATGTTCTAGAACATGAAACTATGAGATTCAGTTTGCATGGCAGGAAAGAATAGTTCCGGCGACTTCTTTTAAGGCTAAAGAATTAAGATTTCTTTACTCAGATTAGCACTCATTTTCTATAAATAAAACTAACAATGGCCTTTGAAGCTGTCGGTCCTATTTTGATTGTTGTTACCTTCATCATCATGCAAATTGCTAGGTGGCACTGCCTGTGACGAATTCCTTAAAGGCCAATTTACACATAACTTTTTTAAAAGATGAACCTGTAAGATATGTTACAGATAAGTGTAAAAATGTATGGCATTAATTCAGATGCATATATCACAACAAAATCAACATGAGAGAATTGGGACTGAATATATCTGCCTAAATAATTTGCTTTCAGTGACAAACAGAAGGTTGCCATCTTATGTTAGGTGGCAGAATAGCCCTAAGCTCCACAGCTGTAATAGTAAATAAATATTAATAAATAGAAGGGTTGATGGTACCCTACCTAACAGGAATTATTTTCGTGGTCTGTCCAGAAAATATCTTTTTAATAAAAATAAAACTAAGACCATAAGAGTGTTCATCAGTGAGCATTAATAGGAGAAAAGACTAATTTCCTTACTATATTTTTATTAATTGCCAAAAATGACATTGATTTACAGCTAGCTTTCATATGACTGCAGCTTTCATGCAATTATAAACCATAAAGTGCTATTACTTTGCAAAAGGAAAAACATGTGCTCGTGAAGAACTTCATATATACTGTATATACATACTACATCCCCATTATGATATTATTCACTTTTGGAGTACAATAACAAAGAATTAAAGGCATAAGATGAGAGAAAGCAAACAAAGCATAGCTAAAACAAGTTTATACCAACATCATTCTCTATACCTCTCCCTCCCTCTCTATTCTTGCAAACTATCCTTGCTCCCACCATATCCATACACTGTTTTGTTTATTGTCTTTCGTACTTTACATTTCTCACTTCTCTCTTTTTCAGGATCTCATCAGCTCTATCCAACTATATTTCTCAATGTTCCCCTTCCACTCAACCCATTCGCTCTTCTTTTATATATTCCAATTTGATCCTGTTCTTTCTTTCTGTATATGACCAAAACATCTCAACGTACTTCTTTTATACTGGTCATTTACTTTTATATTTACAGTCATTTAGCACCCACTTATGTTTAATCTTAGTTCTTCTGTTTTACCAAAGACATTTCTTAATACCCCACTCCTATTGCATACAGCTTACTTTTCTGTAACTCCCAACATTCACAACTTTCATTTGCCTATATCAAAGAGGACAGAAACATGCTTGTTCTTACACAGTCATTTTCTTTCTACATTTACGCCTTGCAACAGACCACATTCTGTCTTTCACCCTTCTACCAGTATTTGCATAACTTCAAATTTCTCCATCTATTTTCCCATCTTTAGTAAACATTCTACCCAGATGCACAAATTCATCTACTTGCTGTAGTTTTAGCTAGTTGCTTGTTTGTTTAATTATAGAATTTATATGGCTACCCAACTCTAACACTGCAACTCTCGGCAGCTTACAATAATAGTAGTAGTAGTAGCAGTAGTAATAATAATAATAATAATAATGCATTCTGAATATAAAAGTAAACATGCTTTACATATAATTTGCAATCATTCATTGCATTTTCTCTGTTGAACATACGTAACTAGCCTGGTATTCAATACATTAATTTTCAGATCTACATGTCTGATATAATATAATATACACACATATATTCTCATCTCCAACCATTTGCTTCTAACATATCCATAAGCATGCTTTATGTGCTTATCCATAAATACATTAAACAAACAAGAGGATATCACATATCTTGACTTACTCCTTGTTCGGTGTTGAATTATTTGCATTCAATTTGCTCCCATGCATGTTTTATTTTCACCATATACCACTCTTATCACATTCAGCAACCATTTGCACAAAATAGTCCATCATTCATGTCTAGACTTTTATCATATTCTTTCTCTAAATCAACAACACAAATAAACTTTCTTTCTCATAGCCTTTGTGTGTATCAGAGGCTACCTTCTACTTGCATATATTGTTAGGAAGAGGCCAACAGTACATGGGCTGTAAGGTAGCCTCTAGATTAGAGATTCTAGCTTACATGGAATAGTGTGATTATGCTTGGAGGAAAACAGAGCTTTGATTATGCTTGTGGCATGCTGGCCAACATGTACCCAAACTAACCAGGATTATTCTTAATGTTAGCAGGGAATTTTGCATATGGCCTAGATATGACTGTGGTTGGTACGCCTGCACTATGTGATTAAAATGAGTTGTCTCAAGCATTACAACCTTTATGCAGGCAAAAATCCAAGATACTTTGGTGAATGTTAATTTCCTATGTACAAATACTTGGATTGGGAGGGAAGGGGGGGGGCCTGGAATTCTAACAGAGAAATTCAAAATTGCTGAGGTTCCTTCCAATAACCTCATTTCTCTGAAAGAATGCAATCACTTATTACAGAAATTGCTACTGTGTAAGAAAAGAGCAAAAGAGTATTAACGTCGTTTAACTGCTACAATGAAATGTTGACATTGTTTTTTGTCTCCATTTTCTGGCTCTCCCATTTCTCTGATGCTGCAGTTGCAAACATACTGTGGCGAGAGGAAGGTACTGCAGTAACATTGTCTTGTTGTAGTGATAATGTGCTTGTCTGCTTTAATAAATCCATAATAAACCATTCTCCACTGATTTTCCACTAATGTTAGCCATGTTGGCCAGTCTCAACTTAAGGCACAGGCAAACTGCATAATTGGGACAATATAAATACAGTAATATAAGTTTTCGAAAAGGATCTCTAAAGCATAATGGGCCAGGGCCAGTCTTCCTCCACCTGGACATTTTCCAGCTATACGGACTTCAACTCTCAGAATTCCTCAACTGCACAGACAATATTAAACATTCTGGGAGTTGAAATTCACACCTCTGAAGAGCATCCAGGTTGGGAAGACTGTAACAGATGTTCCAAATGTTAAAAACGACTCTAGAGAGCTTAAATATATCATCATCACTACAAACAGAATAAAATTTATTGTTGACCTACATGAAATATATTTTAAATTTAAAGTCCCTGACATTCTTGCTCCATAATTTGTGTTTGTACAGATGATTTAATTATATTAAGCCACTGAATCAGGAAAAAAAAATGGTTGCGCTCATTTCTTTAAGCAAAATGGAAATTGGTTATTTTGTCTACTTCTGTTTATTTGGCAATTATATATTCAGTTCAATCAGATTTACCATGAATCCTCCAGAAAAATAATCTGTACAAAACTTTAAATAATCCAGAAATTCTCAAGATTCAAATAAAAACTCCTTAAAAAAAATCTCACAATAGGACTGGAAGGCATTCGTCCATGGCCTTATTTTGCACCATCATATTTAAAAACTCTATGGGGTTGCAAAATAAAACAGAAACTGTGAAATGTTGCCATGGGAAGCAAACATTATGTCATTTGCAAAAAGAATTTAGGATAGGATAGGATAGGATAGGATAGGATAGGATAGGATAGGATAGGATAGGATAGGATAGAATGGAATTTTAAAAAATAAAATAAAGACATGGATGCTGATAGATTTAAAGATATTACGTGAAAATACAAGATACATATTCAACCATATGCCAAAGTATAATTTTGTTGAGTATAAATGTACTTACATATTTGCACATGCAAAAAATTACTTCAGCATGGGAATTCTTGTTTAACTTCTTGAGCTTAATAAATGCTGATTATGACCAAGTGTGCTCATGACTAACTTTCTTGGCATTTGGAAGACCTATTAACAGCTTCACATCCCACTAAATTACTAAAATAATCCATATTGATGGTACCATGTGATGAAGGCTGCAGCCTTTAGCCCTTAGCATCATAAGGCTTCTTAGATTGTTTAGTCCTCTTATTAAAGTAATAGCAATATAACACTGAAATGTACTTTACAATGAAGAAAACACAGATATTACACTTTCAGAATATCCTACAGTTTTTAGCTTGGTTCTTGGGCTCCAAGAAGCAGCAGATCAGACTTACATTTCCTCCCTCCCTCCCTCCCTCCCTCCCTTCCAAACCTTCTATGTGGTTGAAAGTCCACATTCAACCATGGCATGAAAGTAGAAATAGTCATATGTGATTAGGTAGATAAATAACAAACAAAAAGATAGACATAAAAAATGTCTATTATAAAATGCTTAGAAAAGCAGAAAGGCAGTTTTAAAATTAATCACAAATAAATATAACATTATAGATGCTGGTTAGCAATGAATGTTGCACTACCTTCTTAGTTTCAACATTAGTTATTCCTGAATTTTTAAATTTGCTATAGTGAATATTTCAAAAACAGGACAAGATGATCAGACTGCAGATCATGGAAAGACAGCCAGATTACAGATTTAATGATAAGAGAAAATTAAATTCTGCTCATCTGCAAACAGATTGTAAGAACCATTCTGAGCTTACAGTGCTCTGCTGTATTGCTAGTTAGTATCCCTGAGAAAGCACTTATTCAGTCCTGGTGTTACGTTATATTTCTTTGAAATCAACTTGATAGGATACTTCATATGGATAAAAGAAACAAGGAAGGATGTTTCTTAGAAGAGAATGTTGTGGGAAGTGAAGAATTCTAAAAGCCAATATGGAGCTAAATGCAAAATAATGGAAACAGAATATTGTACTTAATAAAAATAGTCATAGAATTTTTTAGTAACAACTGAAATACTAGTTCTCTTGGAATCCAGAGCACAATGTACAGTATTATTCTAATAGAAAATGTATTATGAATGTGTGTTTACACCACTAATACATAAGCCACATTAAATAAATTCTTGGTATTACCATTAGCAACTGCTTTAAGAATAAGGCATATAAAATCTAGAATGTGAATGTGTGCTTTTATCAAAACAATCATGCAGAATAGGAAGTTAGTGTGCATGAATACAGGCATAATTCACGGTTACTCACAAATTACTGCATGATTGTTACCATTTGTTTAAAAATGTCCCAGTTTTAAGCATCTGCAGAAATGTGCATTCATTGCATCAAAGGCCAAACTCCACCTTCCAATGTGCATATTTAAATCCCTATTGAATGGGAACTGTGTGTACAGCATATGCCAGGAAAAGATTCTGAGTCATGAAATGTTACCTAAGAAATTTCAAGCCAAAGATACTTCAGCTGATCAATAGCAATGATAGCGGCCGGTCTTTAGCTATGCTTTCAGAAATGCATGGTCCCTCACTCCAGCATCACATTTAAGAATCATTCTTCTAGACCATTTTGATGCCTTAACTGGGGTATTTCTGTGGTATAACTAAGAGGCTAAAGATCATATACCGAAACATAATAAAATTGAATATTATCTAGGTACCAAGGTGTTTCTTTGCTAAATTTTTTACAAGTTCACATCCATTAGGCCAAGAAAACAAGTATTATCTGGAATTGTTCTTTTTTAAAAAAGTAATTATCCCAATTAAAATCTTTTTATTATTATTAAACTGTCTCCAATTCAGACAATGCACTCTCAGTTCTAGTACGAGCATGAGTTTCTCTCTACTTGAAATAAGTGGGAGTGAAGGTGATTAACTTTAGCTGGATGAATTTCCAATCCTGGAAGCAACTGATATACTCCAGTAACTTTTCTAGTCTGAACTTGACTTGGGGACCACTAGCTAAAGCAGAACTATCATCTACAATAGCTGATTTAAAAAAAAAATAGGATTTATATTCCATGCAAAGATGAAAGAAACATTAAAACAAAATTTGACCACAACAGAACTATGGAAGTTTGGCAGATAAGTACACTATCAATATCACTTGGAATGACAGTAGCCATTATAAAACAGCCAGTATAAATCTGTACTATAATCATGTGTAGTGATTGGATCGCTGAAAAATTATGGAAAAGCTCCTCAGTACAGCATACAATGTATTCATTACTGCTTCTGCATGTAATGGAAAACGAAGTCCTCTGCCTAAGTCATGGGACATTCTGATTAAGCAAAAAAGTAGAATCCAATATTTTACTAGCAGCTCATTGACAAATTACTTTTCTAAAACTTCTGGAATGCCCCAGTTTTCATAGATGAGTGCTGTTGCAATGCTAAAAGGTTCCATATTTGTGAATTAGAGTTTGCAACATTTCAAAAATGTCTTTGCTTTGGTGGCTATGAGAATTGACCTCCCCCAAAGGCTATTGGACACCAAACAACGTATTCCCTGGAACCCATAAATAACACTTGTTATTTCAGTTTGGAATTATATGCAATACTTTATTGGATTCCTACATCTGAAGCATTTTCCCAAAAAGCCAAAATGGTTAGCAGTCTCTTTTTTCATGTAAAGGAAGAACACCTGCTTCTCAGATCACCAGACACATGACCCCAGTTCCTTATTTGAAGTTCTGACTGCTACCACCAAGGCAATACATTTTTGAGTCTACCTGTACCTCTTTTCCCACACCTTGAAGCCGTACTTGTGACATGAACTTTAATTTCGTGAATGCACCAAAAGCATCCTAATTTCTAGGTGTTTTTCTTTTCCTTCCAGCCTTTCCTTGTTAGTATTTTCCTTTTTGGGGGGGGAGGGGGGGTTAGCTTTCATTTTGCTTTTAGACAATATTAGGAAATATGACTTTTTTCCCCTTGCTCTTTTTGTTCTGTTTTTTTTCTTCAAGGGCTCAGTGTGGGAAATATGTTCTATGTCTTTTCGGAGGATGGAATCACAATCATTCAGCCAACTGACTGTGAGATCCAGAGACATATCAAACCAAATGAGAAAGTGTTCACCAGTTATGTAAGTCTGGGGACATTATTAACATTCAGACTATTGGTACCGTTGATCTAATGCAGGGATTCTCAAACTTTGAGATACTGTGACTCCTAATATAAGTGACATTGCATGTCCCCAATGAACAAAAATGCATTGATGTTGTGTTGAGGAAGTAAATATACTGCTTAGTTTTAATAATCAAATCTTAATCTATATATCATCTTTGTGGTACTGCAACAGATTTCTAAAGGCTTATGCAAGCAAAATGGAGAACAAGCACAAAACGAGTTTTTAACAGTGCCCCTGCTTTCCCGGTGCAAGCCCTATCAATTTAAAAAAAAATTGTGACAGCCCTCCCCCAATTTGCTTTAAGGTGGGATCCTTCTGGAGGTCCCAACTAGGAGGCTTCACACCGCAGTCTGAGAAACATGAGTCTAATTTGAGCCTCAGCCTAAATGAGAAACCTGAGCCTAATTGAATTACGGAAAGGAAGAAAAAGTTATATAAATGTGTATGAATAGAAAATTTGGTAGTTGTTTGTTCAGGTGGTTCTTTGCATCTGGCTAGAGGAAATATAATTTTGAATGCAGAACAACAGATCCAGCCTGAAAGTTAATCTTCATGCTGGGGAAAGAGGCCTCGAGCTCTTGGTGGCAAGGTGGAATATACATCTAAATAATAAATAAAATAAAAAAATAAAAAAATAAAATAAAATAAAATAAAATAAAATAAAATAAAATAAAATAAAATAAAATAAACAATTCAAGGTGCTGCATACTAAAGACACAAAGCTGTTTCTAGTAAAGGTAAAAAAATTCTGGTCTTAAGCACACAAATAAGTGCATAATTTTTACTTAATGTCCTCAGGTTTAGGAGGGTAGGTTCCCCCTTTGTGGATATGTTTGGCAAAGAGTCAAACCCTGTCGTTCTTTTTATTTCAGGCAGATATCTGTCCTAGTCTTGAAGGTGAAGCTGTTCAATCTTGCCTCTGGGCTTCTGCTGTCAATGTCAGAGATAAATATATTTATGTTACTCAGCCTAAGTGGAACAGAATAATGATCCTTGATATCCAGACACAGAAAATCATTCAGGTAATTTTACAGGGACAACTAATTGTTTTAAGATGGGGGAAATGACCTACACATTGCAAAGAATTTTGCTGTTTCCCAGAGGAGATTCTAGCTGCTACCTTAACCACGGCTTGCAGTCTAAAATTTGACCCTTTTCTTGAGGGGGAAACCCCCCTCTTCATAGCTTGTTATAAATAGGACAAGGTTTCTATTACAAATAAGATAAAATGGCCATAGAAAAAGTGTCATTATTACATGAATATTTCTAATAGGTTCTAAAAAATCAACGAACGCATGCATGTGTGCATGGATGATTCTCAAGATTTGCTGAGAATAAGAACATTATTTTCTTGTACCAAGACACAACATTAAAGATATCATTGTATGTATGTGACCAGAATCAATGTTTAAGTGAATCAAGGTTCTATCCTATTGCAAGAAAATATGTAGTACTTGAAGCTTGATCTCTGTGCACCCTTGCCTGAAACAGATCCTATTGAATACAATGGAAACCAATAATAAATATACAAAGGTTGTACTAGAAGGTTGTCTTCCTATGCATTGAAATCAGTGGGACTGACTTCCAAGTAAACATTCACAGCACTGAATGGGATTTAGATTCTGAAGATGACAGTAAGAATAATTTGTGGGTAGCTGGATTTTAATTCATCTATATTCAAAAGGCCAATTCATATAGACTTTTAGAATGGAGTATGTAGGAGGCAACATACAACATAGACAGAGACAGACAGACAGAGACAGATAGAAGCTTTGGGAGAATGGTGAGCACTGTTCAGTACAGGTGACATTCCAAAGCTCCTCATAGCCAGGTGTAATGAAAGCTGTGTACAGAGGAAAGCCACTAGACTTAGATCCTTTGATGGTGCCAATGGCATGGATGTGATGTGTGACCGCATAATCTAGAGGCAAATTGCATATGTAAGAAGGAAGTTGGTGGACCATTTATAGGATGGTATCAGTCATACTGGAACCACTAACATAAGGAGCAGGTCTCATTAGACCACAAGGTCTTCTACAGGGCATTTTCAGTATGTTGTCTAATTGTAACAGAGAATGAAAAACCAATCCAGAAATTCTTATTCATAGTTTGTTAACTGGATTAGTTTCCAGATTCAGAGAATACACTCCCTTTTCATGAAAAAGAACTAATGCCACTGTTTTTGTTTTTTTGAAGTCTCTGGGTGTTGATCCTCTGCCAGTGAAGTTACATTATGATAAGTCACATGACCAAATATGGATACTTAGCTGGGGGGATATGAAGAAATCCCATCCCACATTGCAGGTAAGTTTCCTATGAGCTTAATAGCAAACTACTGTTTATTTATAGTTTTCTGTAAGCAGGATTTTTAAAATAAAAATATAATTGTTTATTTGCATACCAATTTTGCGTTCTTTCCCTCTGCTCCTCTGTTTGGATGGTTCCATGTTTTGCTTTGCTTTGCTTTGCTTTGTTTTTAAGCAGATTGAAAACAGAGCTGACAGCAAGAAACGTGTTTGTCGATAAATAGTGATAATTTCAGTGTCACTGGGTGAAGAGAGTCCAGCAGGACTGACCAGCTTTTGATCTCAAAGAATCATCCCTTAATGAAAGAAGAGGCAGCTTTCTGGTGATTTGCCCTCTCCTGCAGCCCCTTACTTCATCCTCCTCAGTTCTGGAGGATCTGGAATAGATTCTGGAGATGGGAGCAAGGAGATGATGAAAGAAAGAAGGACTGGCAGCCCCCCTCCTTCTCTTCCTTGCTAAGACACTCCACTAGAGCAAAAGCCACACTTCAAGCATAAGGGCATCACAGAAGTCCACCATCTATTCTTCTAGTCATCAGATCCAGATATCTTTAAGCAGACATCACTTTTAATTATTACAGTTAGTTTTAGAATTACCATAAATACTAATCTACTTAGTCCCTTCCTTTTACTTCTTTTCTTTTGAATTTTTTCCTTTTCATCTTCTCTATCCAGTAAACACATTATCCTTCTCTTAATGTGCCACAATCTAGTTCAGGATTGCAAGCTACCACAAAAGGCATCAAATTTAAATCATTCAGGGTTGTGGAATTGATTCCAGGAAAAAAAATTGCTGGGCTTCATGGGAGAACTGGAGCAAATTAGTTAACTTGAATCCAAGGTGTTTGACTAACTTTCTTCCTTTGCTACACAGAACATGCTTGGTACGAACACCCTTATTCTTGCCAGTTTCCTAGGCATCATAATTTGCATTATTGAAATAAACAAACGAGAGAAGATTCTGCCTTAGTACAGGGAGTAAGTGTAGATTACTTCCAGCACTGTAGAGGCAGAAAGAAATATGTCTGTACGCAATCCTGGTATAAGCCCTACTCACAGCCTTCCATCTATGCTGGTGGAATGCCATGGACCTCTGCTACTCATTCTTACGACTAATGATAGCTGCAAATCATTCTCTATCTACCCATTTTAATGGTGACAAAGCCATATCTAAATGCAAACAATCATGGCACAGAAATAAGTCATTGTGGGTCTACTGCACAAGCTCCTAATTGTCTGAACTGTAGCAGTTAGCAGGTTATTTCACACAAAATTGTAGAATTCCCAGGATAGAGTTACACTGCATGGCACTAATTTTACTTATACTGTATTAGCAAGGAAGGGTAAAATATACTGTACTTTTTCTGATTATGTTAAATCGCTTTATCAAGAAATGGCAGATTTCTTTAGCAGTTTAATTGGGAGACCTCTAAATAGACCAAACAAAATATTTGAAGCAAATCTTTTAAGGCTCTTGCAGTTTTGGTAATGAATTTCTTAGCTGTACATTTTAAAGCGTTCCTGTTCACAGGCTGTGTTAGTAAACTCTTCTAATGAACTGACCTTAGCTATGTTGAATCAAAAACACCTTCCGACATAAGAATCTCAGAATTTAAACACTTTCTTTAAAGTTTCACCTTTATGTTTTGCTGATCTTACTGGAGCAAAAGATAGTTTCCCTGATAATAAAGAATTGCATTTTCGGAAGACTTGACTTTGGAAAAAATAGAATAGAATAGAATAGAATAGAATAGAATAGAATAGAATAGAATAGAATAGAAAAAAGAGAAAAATCCCTTTTCTCATTTTACGTACACCTCCTTCTAATAGCTACAATTTATAATATAAATATATTTAGAACAATATGTATATAATTATTTATAAAACTGATTAGTTACTGTGACTTTGCTGTGGATCATTCAACACAGTGAATTAGCCTTGTGTATTTACATGAGATTAAATAAACATGAATATGAAAGCCATGTTTACTGCAGCCAGTGTGGAAAAATTATTGCAGGGTTAGATGTAGGACAGTTTCAACTCCTGCATGACTGTATTGTATAGCAATATAAACAGCTTGAAAGTAAATGGGAAATTATTCTCTGATTTTACAAATGTTACCTACACAGAGATGCCATTTCATCAGCATCCTTATTTTTAGGAACTGGGACAACCATTATGCTGGCTTATGGAATGCTGCTATCATGGCCACATTCATGTTGATATCATATGCATTTTAGGTATTCTAGATTTTTATTTCAGTGCTTCCTTCATTGCTCCTGTCAGTGGCCAGTATTTGTTTATTCACGGTAGGTAATACCAGAAGCAAGTACAGGAGAGAACCAGCAGATCATCTGTACCCACCTGAATGGAATGGATGATTATTTTATTCCACCTACAAATCTGATCATCAATCACATCAGGTAAGAGTTCTCTTATCACCAACAGTTGTATCTTCAGTCTAACAATTCTTCTGAATCACAGATAATACTCGTTTGCTTTTGTGCTTGTTGCTAGAAACTCAGGAAGAAGAAGCCATAAAGAATCTTCTGTAAAGGCTCTGTGAGTCTAGGAACAGGGTATGTCATCAGACAGACAGAATGTATCCCAAGAAGCAATGGAGCAGTAATGACTAGCCTGATAGAATTATCCATTAGTCCATCCATTCTCAAAATTGTCACTGAGTTTTAATTTAATTTAATGAAAACTTCAACCAATGATTAACATTTTCACTCTCAGTTTGCTATTAGTAGTTTGCTATTAGTAGCAGTCTAATAAATGGATTTCAGCTTTTGCAGTCTGGCAAACATTCAGTATATTTCTTCCTTTGTTTTCAGGAAGAAAACTAATAATACAGTCTAGTTCAAATATCTCTCCACCGTGTTAGAACATGTTTCTAGGAATTCTTATCTACATCTTGCCTACTCTTGGCTGAGAGCCATTGCAGATGTGCCATCCAGTCATAGAGTAATATTATCAGTATTTAGGAAGCCAGTTGGTTGTACAACTTCTGTTCCAGGGGGTTGCTAAAGGTCTGTCATGGCAGTATAGTGCTAGTCTTTTGATACTTGTTTCAGTGAAGGGGGGGGGGGGACCCTATGGTTTGTTTTAATTTCAAAAATTGCATATATTTGCTTTAAATCACAATATACATTTACACATCCAGTGAATGAGTGACATACAACTTGTTGTCATCCCTACATGCATGCATACCCCAATATTCCAATTCCAGTTGTATTCTAGGGGGATTGGGGTGTTGCAGTGGTTAAGTCATTGGATTAGGGCTCGGAAGACCCAGGTTTAAATCCAGCCTCAGCCATGCAAAGTGACTGGATAACTGTGGGCCTGTCCCCCCCACCCCATCCAAATTATCTCACAGGGTTGCTATAGTGGGGATAACCTGAAATGGAATCCCTGTGTAAGTCACCCTGAAGTTTTGGAGGAAAGGAGTAATATAAATGTAATAAATGGACTTTGATCATTTTACAATTTAGATTTCAAGTAAGAAGCTCACACATATTTGCATGTTGTCTTAAACAATGATTTAGCACAAGTATACAAACAGAAATAAGCTACTGTCAGCTAAAGCAGCTGGTGGAGCTTGGAAGCACCCCCTTTACCAGCTCTTATTATCTCATATGGAATGACAAACTTTGGGCTTATGTCGATATAAATTAATGATTTCTGAAGCTGCCTCCTTGAAGAAATCATAATTAGCAATACATATAGCTCTGGGTTTGAACAACAACAAAAAATCTAGCCACCCAAGAGGAAAAGAAGGGAGGAAAAGTGGACACCAGTGCCATGCTAAAGCTGTTTACTGCAAATGTGACCACTGAGTACTTATTTAATAGCAGCAGGTGTATGATACGCCCACTGATCTGCCTCATTCACCTGTCAATATAGCCCTGGGTATGTCTCCTAAGAAGGCTCCATGAGCTCATAAATTCAACTACCAGATGTCTGTTTAAACTGCAGCCTTACATTTATTGTAAACATAGAAATGCTTTAAAGAAAGGATTTTTGCTTAAAATGCACTTCAAGCATCCTGATTCAAAGGAACGGCAGGTGTAATCTTATTACTCCTCAGTCACACACCATTTTCATTTTCTGTGCTAGATTTCTTTTTTAATTTGTAATTGATGCAAATATTTAGTTGAAAGACAAGCTAAATCCCAGGATTGTTTGCAGGATCATGGAATATAAAGCTTTGCTCTTAAGGAATGAATTTTTATGCATGATATAGTGCAGTTTTCAACTCTACTTTCTCTTGTTTACACACACACACAATTATTCACTATCCACCACAATCCCAAAACTCTTACTGTGTTTACAGTAATGAATATTATTTGGAGAAACTGTGAGTTTCTCTGTGCCAAAACAAGTCAGGAATATGGTTTTCATTCAATGGAACTGGAATATTAGGACCATGGTTGTCTGGGGAAAAAAAAATCACTATCTATGCTATGTAGATTAGGATTGGGAAAATATGAAAACCTGTTCCAGATTAGGGCTGCTAGATACCTGGACTTTGTGCCCATCCAGATTTTGGTAGTCCAGATACCATAACCTTATTATTTTAGTCTCTCCAGGTAGATGGACCTTCCATGTGTACAGAATTTGTGTATAAGTAAGTTTTCTATTAATTCCTTTGAGTTCAAGTCCCAACAGTAGATACCATCCTTTCAATCAAGACAGATACACCGCTTAGTGTTTCTTAAACTCTTCTATCACTCTTCTACTCCAGTCTCTTTTGTAAGCGTTTTCAGTAAAGAAAGGAAGAGTTCAAGGGGTAACCAGGAAATCTGTCCAAAGAAAAATCTACCATCACATCTGTCCACAGCTAACTGTTCTATAAAGATATTTATATTTTCCAATGGATGTAGATTTAGTAAACCCATTGATTTCAAATGTCTACTCTAACAATGGCTAAGGGCAACTTAATGAGAACACTGAGAAAAGTGTTACATATCATGAAAAGCTAATTTTCTGTATTACTTATTATTGAAGTCAGGTTTATGTTAGTCTGATGATATATTTAAGAATCTTTATGCAATGTGAACATATATTAAGACACAGAGAAGCAATAACCAGAAGCCCAATGCTTATTTTTTGCAGCAAGAGACCTAAAGCAAATGCTAGTAATAATGATCTTCTGCTATTACCATAAAATGTCCTCTGGCATTTCACCACTTCAGTTTCTTACCTGCACAGATTCCATTTATTCCACGGTACAAAACTTGATAGTGTGTTGTTTCAGCTTTAATGTCTTTTCCCTGAATATTTCTGTGTGTCCAACTAAAGATACTCTATTGCTCCTCAACAATAAGCTCTATGTAGCATTACACAAGGCAACACTTCTTTGCCTCATTCCTTCCCGTGGTCAAAATATAGTATGACATTTGATCTAAGCAAGGGTGGATAAATTGAGGCTCCAGAGTTGGTGGCTGCCCAAAGCTCCTTCAAAGTTTCCATCAAATTGTAATGTTCAGTGTGACAGATGGGAAGTTATTAAATATGCAGCAGTGGTCATACTAAATATTTTAAATTAATTTAATGTTCATCATATCTAGTTTCTGTGCTAGCTCCACCCACTGTTTGTGATGTTCACTCCAGATTTTTGGAGTGTGGCGCCTAGCATCTAGCACTTCAAGCTGATGTTTGGCCTTCCACCTGAAAATTGCGTGCTCTTGCTATAAAGTTTACTTAAATAAATTTTGGTTTTGAGCATTTAGGCACCATAATATTGTTCACTCAAGAATGAGGCCACATTTCTTAAGGTACATAGTTTGTTATACTGTGTTTTGCCTTTTGTTTGCAGGTTTGGCTTCATCTTTAATAAGTCAAAGGCTGCAGTTCACAAAATTGATCTGGAAACCATGGCTTATATCAAGACTATCAGCTTTGGAAACTACAGCTGCCTGCCCCAAGCCATGGCCTACACCCACTTGGGGGGCTATTTCTTTGTGCAGTGCAAAGCAAATACATCCATGCCAAGAATTCCACAGCTTATAATTGACAGTGTTACAGATTCTGTTATTGGCCCCAATGATGACATATCAGGTACTCCCTACATCTCTCCTGATGGACGCTATTTGGTCAGTGCAGATGAAGAGAGCAGGAGGATCAGAGTCCAGGCCATAACAGTCCAAGGAGAAATCAAGTTGATCTATGACTTACAAACCACTATGTGCATATCTCATCTGACATTCCAGTCCTCTTTCACTGAAGCCAATCAGTATTATATATACGCTTCTTCACATTTGCAAGCAGATGTGCTTTTTGTTGAGTTGTCAACAGGGAAAATGGACCTCTTGAAGAACTTAAAAGACCCTATCAAATCTAAAGACTGGCCCTGGAACAGCTACAACAGAATTATCCAAGACAGTGGATTATTCGGTCAATACCTTATAACGCCAGCAAAGAATTCACTCTTTATAATTAATGGGAGACAAAATACATTACGCTGTGAGGTTTCAGGAATTAAGAAGGGCAACACAGTAGTTTGGGTAGGAGATGTATGAAAAAGATACGAAAGGAAAAATGAACCAGAACTTTCAGGAAAAAAAAGTACTGATTGAACATTTAACTGCAGCAAAAAATATATATGCAGTAGCATTGTATATTTTTACACTGAGGGGAAAAAAACTGGTATACATTTCTCAGTAGAAGACTGGCCTATTGCGAGATATAGGGTATGCTCTGCTAATTGGAATTGGTTATACTAGGAATTTATGTTGAGTCCAGTTTAATAACTTAATTGATGGAATATATCATGGGAAAGGAATGATTCGACTGAGATGCTATAAGCAACATGTTATAGAACCTTGCTTTTGACTTGAAAGGCTGATCAATCTTTGAGTTCTCTCTAGGTAATCAGTTTTCATTCTGTTATCCCAACATAACATTTTGTATACAACATTGTGCCACGTGGCATGAGATCAACCCTGTCACTTAGATATTTTATTTTCACAAGGATGGAAGAGCTGGAGGAATTTAGGCATTAATGTACTTTACTGAAATTGCAATCTCAGTCAAAAGTCTTTTTAGAGCCATTCACATCAAAGACTTCTGGAATCATTCAATATAGCAAATAATATTAAGACAAAATGTTTGCATATTTTAAAAGGCAATATTTCTACTCATCTAAAAACAGAATCAGACTGAGACAGTAAGCTGAAAAACTGGACTATATATTGTTTCAGCTTCTGCTACTCCTATATATTTCAGGGATGGCAGACTTCCCCCGATCTCTCTCCTATAGCTAGAGTATTGTACTGAAGACATCACACTTAACTTTAAAGGAAACACTTAAGAAGTGACAAATCAAGGATGAAGGGGGAAGTATGAAAATAGATTGATTCAGGAAAAAAAAAGGGGGGGGAGAAGTAAATATTGGATTCAATCCAGAAGTCTTACTCAGAGTAGACCAACTGAAATTGTTGGGAATAGCATTTCCACTGAAATTGTTGGGAGTAGCATTTCCACTGTAAGCCATGGTTTTCTCTTGAGATAATATAGTTCCTACAAAGGCTAAGATTTATACACACACACGCACATACATGTATAACCAAATGATATTGTATTAGATCTTTCTCTCGGACCTAACCCAAGCACGTATATCTGATGTAGCTGGAGTTACAGAACCTCCAGATCTAGGAAACATTGTATAAGGTGTCAATAAATGAACAAATATGCAAATATCTTCTATGTAATCAACAAAGAGATATATTAACTTTATTTTTTGAACAGTTTCAGCCATACAAAGTATACAAAAATAAGCTGCTATTTTAGCATTAGAGAAAAGCAGTGTTGTTTCCAGTGCAGAAACATTTTTCAGAAACCATTTATTCCCCTTCATTAAAAATTTACCATTAGTCAAAGAAATTGGGCCCTTCATAGACACAATAGATACATCTTTAAAAGCACTCTTTTTAATAGCATATTTTTGTGCAGAAAACTTTTAGCTTTTATATAAATCAGACATACAGTATCTGTCAACTAAGACCCTAGGAAGAAAAGCCTTTTAAAAATCTATCTATTTATTCCATTTTGCTGTTCTTCATATTCTTCTTTCATTCATAATGTCCTCATTTATAATCAATTAACATTTAGTTCTGAAACACACTCAATTGTGTAACACTCAGTTTAATGAACTAAAAGGGGAAAGGGATGCCTGTTAAAGTAAAGCATCCATTAAATCAGAATGATTTTATATGTGCAGGTTTTACACATTCTATACATGCATAAAATGGGAATAGGGGTTTACACATGCATAACTGATGTATTTTATGCATGGTTAAAATGGTGCTTGGGATTGTTACCCATGTGTAAATGGAAAATGGGTTGTTGTGCATGCACAGAAGCACACATTACACGGACAGAGGTTGTTTGTTGCATCTGAAGTCCATTAAATCAAAGTTTTACTATCATTTAAAAGGAATTAAGATGTACCAATGATGCAACAACAGATACTAAGAATTGTGTATTGACTCACCACAAAATGCAAATACACTTGCTAATTTAAAAAGATGTAATGTGTATGCATCTTGTTAATTTCAGTTGGAATACAGAGACACACAAAAAAAACAAAGTCCCAGAATATCTTAAGCCAGTGGAATTCAAATGTCTTTATCTGATGCTTTCATTCTTATTGATGTATTTTAAAATGTGGTTTAATATAACATTTTCCAGAGCAATCCTGGCTTTTCCATAATGCTTAGTGAGATTCTCCTGACCCCCCAAAAGGCATTTGTTGACTGGGATTAATATTTATTCAATATATATGGTAATAACTAGAAAAGTACCTCTTTAATCATTTTTGCAAGAAGTGAAATCACTGTGTTTCAAAAGCACACAATTATTTCTGCCAAGCAGACAGTAACCATCTTTAATTTGATTGATGATTATGTGTCAGGGGCTTTAAAGTAGATATCAATGTGCATGCGTTAAGATCCTCTGTTCCAAATGGGATCCCTGTTTCTATGGGCTGAATATGTAGAAAATAGTGCCATGGATGCCAGTTGCCAAGGACATCACAGTGAGGGGAGTGCTATTGCTCACTGCCCCATAATTCTTCACCTGTCCTAGGGCAGCCTTACCCACTCTTGCTGGCTGATGAATTCTGGGAGTTGAAGTCCATGCATCAGGGGCAGGGGGGATACAGATTTGGCAAAATTGATAAAGACAGTTATCTGAATTTCCAAGTTTGACATACTTAATATCAAGGACCCAAATCCAGTTTTTCAACCGGATGGGGGGGGAAAAGCGTTCTATTACATATTGGCCTTTGTTGAGTAATTTCTATTGCTGGACATCTACTGCTGGACATCTCAGCTAAGACTGCATCTATATTATAAATGTAAATCACTTCATTTACATTGTTTCTATTAAAATACTTTGAGAACCATATTTAAGGATGTACAAACTGATATCTAAGAATTCTTAGTGTATCCTCCCCTCCCCTCATAATGCTTCTGTTTTCGTTAATCACTCATGGAAGCCATTGCAGGTTGAAACCAGCCAACTTCTGAAGTATTGATACAGCTTAAATATAATTTTTTGACCTGAAACAGGAGAAGAATGAGATCTTCTTAATTCAGGAAGCACAGAATTCTTGCAATCCATTGCTCAACTTTCTAGAAAGAAAGTAGAATATGAGAGCTATTAACAGAAGTACAGTAGTCGGAGTTGTGCCCTCTCTTGTCCCAATGTGATGAGTGGTAAAATATACTTTTTCCCCCCTAAAGCCATTGTTTCTTCCTATGACCCATAGGAGGTTAGAATTCAAATATTAAATATGGGATGTAGCCTCTATTTGGAAATATTGTAAAGCAAAGCTACATCCAATGTATTGTCATGTTGTTTTATTGAGCGCTGCTTTAATGTTCCCTTTTTAATATTTCTGAATAGGATGAGTTGCCCATCAATTAAAACTTTTGTGACATAGATACAGAAAAAAATGTTGATTTCATTTTTTAAAAATCCTTGTAAATATCTGTTGCGGTAAATATTCTTGAAATTAAGATATGAAGGGTGTGTAATAAGCTTCACTGCTTTCTGTTTACTTTATTACACTGGACTAGAGTGAATTCAAATGTTAACTTTCCAAAGATGCTCCTGTGGCTTTCTTTTTTCGCCCTCAAGTTCTATTGATGTCTTTTCTAAATATCCAAATGACCTCATCCTACTTAGAAAATGATAATTAATTTAGGTGCATCACACAACTTGTGAACAGTTCCAATGATGTTTGATCTAACTGAAAAGTGTGCACATTCATAATCATAATTCTGAGATCACAATTTCTCTGTACCACAAAAGGTGAACATCGAGTTTGTTTCCTTACAACTCTTGTTTCTCAAGCTTATTAAATCTCATTTGGTTGCATTTCCTGATTTATTTCTTTTGTCTCCCTGTACACAACATTTGGATACCACTTCATATTCTTTCTCAGCCAAGAAATTAATAGTCACAGTGATTAAGTGGAAATAATTTAAATTGAAATAGCATGTAATTAGCCACCCTAACATGCTTGTATATCATTAGAAGTTCTGTTGGATGGACATTGATTTCAATGAACAAAGCAACTGATTTAAGATAAGGATCAAATCCCTGATATCCAGTGCAATGTTTTTTCACTACTTAAATTAAATAAAGGACAGTACAAAAGAGATGCCATGACCATACTGGGGAGTAGTGTTTTTCTTTTTTCTTTTTAAAGAGGAAATTGCTAAAACAGCATTGCTAGTATTAGTCTGGCAATTTATCTGTATCTTGCTTTGTGGCACTCAGAATTAAACATGCTACCTTGACATTTTGATAGAGAAGGCAAGGATTAAGCTCTAGTCTGGGTACCAACATGAACATGCACATTTCATAGTGCTCAACAATACTTGGCTTTTTCTTCCCTCCTCTTGATATGCATGCAGAAAATGTGGAGTGTCATTATCAAGAACAGGAGTTTAGAACTGTGTGCACTGTTATCATTGTTACCCTTTTATTATGTTTACTTTATGTTTCCATCTCTTTAAATTGCTTTGGGAGGGTGTTTGCCCTGAGAAATGTCTTGGAAATATTTTTTTTAATTAACAGCAGCAACAACAAATCTCCCATCCTTGATCATTATTCGTGTTCCAAGGTTCAAATGGAATAAGGTAGGACTGAATTCTTTCAAAAAATATGTTTTCCTCAGGTAATAAATCTTGACCATGAATCAAAGGACAAAATTAAACAATTTTTTGCTAGTGGCTAAAAGCTGTGAGTTATGGGTCCACGTTCCTTCTATTAGAGGATTAGGAACCCAGATAGTGGACATTTTCTGTTCATCACAGGTTTGGATGGAGATAGCAATGATGTACATGGTCTCTCATGTGTCATTCTCATGCTTATAACATCCTGCACCTAGATTCCCCTTACTTACAATATTTTTTGTAAAAGTACAGTGCTGCTAGGCAGGGGAGGAAAACAGGCTTCTATTAAAGGATGGCATTCATGAAATCCTGATTTACTTAGAAGTCGGTAAATT